ATGACATTAAATCATCATTCACTGTAGCTCAGAACTGTTCAATAATTCAACAGTCTCATACTCCATGCAACAAAATCAGCATTTAAGAAAAACAGCACATAATTTAGATACCATGCAAGGACACTGAAGCGTTCACTTGGATAACACAAACTCTGATGTTGACATCAGCCATGCACCGAAAAGGTGCAGTGTACCAGAACCAGGTTACCCAAGCTCGCTCACTTCCCAAGGGTGGAGGGGGCATACCACAGACTATATCAGTTCAGCAAAACAGCAGGGCTTATGCCAAGGTCTAGGTCTTCAAGCAGAATTCTCAATCATCCCAAAAACCTTAGTCATTTGCTTTAAGCAAATACATGGCCAGGTCCTCAACTTCCCTTCGTGTGGGTCCCCCCAAACCTCGTCTCCATGACACCCTAACCTTTCCTCCTTTCCCATCCTCCCATCTCCACCATGTATCTGACAGAGCCATGCTGCCTGCACAAGACCCCAGCCACCTAGCAAAGGGACAAGAGGCATTTCCTATAACATAAGGGGGGTGGTATTTGGGACCCTACTTTGGAAAACATCTTGAATAAATCCATTCATTATGTTGCAGAATGGAAAGGGACGGTGGCTTAACAACAGTGTGTCTTTCAGCCCCACTATTCCCTGCGGTTTCCTCCTGGCAGGATCTCAGGAGGGTGGAGCAAGCATTGACATTAGGAGGAAAGCAGAGCTGGGCTCCATGCTATTCCCTTCCGTCCCTACCCCTCACGTCTATCCAATTATAATTTCAAATCCAGAAACATGAAGATTGCCATAGGATGCTGTGGTGGTTTGAAAGAAAACGGCCCCCAAACAGAATGTCACTCTTACAAGGTGTGGCCTGGTTGGAGGAAGTGTGTCACTGGAAGTGTGGGCTTCAAGTCTCATACATACCTAAGTCATGCCCAGTGAGACAGTTCACTTCCTGTTGCCTGCAGGTCAAGATGCAGGGCTCTCAGCTCTCTCTCCAGCACCATGTTGGCCTGCATGCTCCCCACCATGATGGTAATGGACTAAACCTCTGAAACTGTGAGCCACTCTATCTATAGTCAAGGTCACGGTGTCTCTTCACAGCAGTGGAAACACTAAGGCTAATGCCTACCAAGACACTTACTAAATGAAAAGTGGTTTCAGAGCTCTACTGAGGGAAAGCCAGTGTGGTGTGGGTAACTGCTTGACCAGCTGGCTTTGCAAAGTATCGTATGGTGTCTGCACACCTGAGCAAGCTATGCTAGCAGGTGGGCAGTCCTATGACATGCTCATGCATAAATATATTACAAAGACTAGTTTCGCATGTTCACAAATGCCCTTTTCCCAACCTTTTTAGTTACAGACTGATCTCTAAGTCAAAGGCAAGCGGCCTTGGAAAGAACTGCAGTGAGTTTTGCCACAGACTTTTTGATAACCCTCCTAGACATTGGGGGTTGAAGGAAGAGTCAGGTAATTTCCAGCTCTTTACTTTGAACGTGAGGGAGCACCCAATTGAGCTGTCATTTTTGGTACAGAGCTCAGAAGGAATTCAAGAATTAAATGCCATTACTAGTGCCATGCTCTTCCATCCCATAAATGTATTCATGAGTCTTCAATGCTTACATATCTAAAGATGGGAAAGAGGCACTGGCTTTGCATCCCAGTGCTGAGTGCATTTCTTCACTTATTAAGAAACATTTTTAACGCCTGCGAATTCAGTATGATTTGCAGTGTCTACTTATTTTGATGAGCAACAAGGTAGCAACGCTAATGACTTATTTACCTAGAGTAACTGTGAATTAGAAACAGGAACTTAGCTGAGGGTGAATTCCTTTCAAAACATTCAGGAAAACTGGAAGATGCCTTCAAATGCACACGTGCACACATGACTGCATGGATAGTGCGCACAGCTACATGTCATAGTGAGGACAGAAGACGCCTTCAAATGCACACGTGTACACATGACTGCATGGATAGTGTGCACAGATACATGTCTTGGTGAGGACTGGGCGACTTTCAGTAACTAAATCTGAGAGAATAAAATGAAATAGAAGACAGGATTTTAAAAGGGCAAATTTAAGAGGAAAAAATAAGATAAAAATTCTGTCCACCAAAGTGTTGTTTATATTTTTTAATGAATAAGGAAAGCTAAAAAGTCCCTTCCTATGTAGACTCCATTGGATGCACTTAAATACAAGATGGTCACTGCTTAGCACACAATTCTTTTCATGTCTTCCAGGAAGTAAATACACCAGAGATTGACTGGCTGCTGAACAGTCCCTACTTGCCTGTCACCTGAACACTCAAAAGTGTCTTAAGAAATGTCACCTTAAGCTGTGTAGGGAGAGTGCAGTGTTACAATGTGACATCAAACACTTGAAGGCCACTGCTTTCTCTGGAAAATGGGCTAACCTGGGCTTCTGAAAGTTCCCAGGAGTTGGAGCTGTATTATCTCTAATTTCAGCGGATTATTCACATGACAATCACTGATATTCAAGCCCACTGTGCTGCGGTTCCACCTTCCTGCGTCCAATCTGGGGACGGTCTGGCCTGAAGCTGCCTCTGGAGGCTGAGTGTGGGGACAGAAAGCCTGCAGGTCAGCCCTTCCCTTCCTGAGCACGGCATGGAGTCCAACCGCAGCCATCCTGCCAACAAAACCACCTGCAATACCAAATCCTGCCAGCAAAACCACCTGCAATACCAAATCCTGCCAGCAAAACCACCTGCAATACCAAATCCTGCCAGCAAAACCCCCTGCAATACCAAATCCTGCCAGCAAAACCACCTGCAATACCAAATCCTGCCAGCCTGTGTCTTTTCCACCACCATGAAGTTCACCGAGCACAGTGGGCAGCATCCCAGCAAGTATCCCTTCTTTACAGTTTCTGGAAAGAGGATTCATCCTTTTTTGGTCCCTTTTCCATTTTCATTGTGTGTGTGTGTGTGTGTGTGTGTGTGTGTGTGTGTGTGGAAGAGGATTCATCCTTTTTTGGCCCCTTTTCCATTTTCATTGTGTGTGTGTGTGTGTGTGTGTGTGTGTATGCATGTTTACATTTGTGGGTGCATGGTATGGTAGCAGGTGCAAGCTGTTGTGTATTTTGAGGCCCTTGGTTGAAGTCAGGAATTGCCCTTGATGGCTCTTCCGCCTTCTTCAATGAGGCAGGATTTCTCAATCTAACCCAGAGCTCATAATAAGGCTAGTCTCACCAGTCAGCTCACTCTGTGGACTCCTGTCTCTGTCACACAAGGCTGGGATTACAGACAGGACACCACCCATGCAGAATTCATGTGGGTTCTTGGAATGTGACCAGAGTCCTCATGCTTGCATGGTGAGTGATCACCAAGGCACCTCCCTGGGCCTCATGGGGGACGTCCTTCTGTATATATATTTCTCTTATTGGTTGATGAATAAAACACTCTCTGGCCAATTAAACAGGAAGACAGGCAGGACTAGGATGAGGAGAATTCTGGGAAAAGAAGGCAGAAAGGGCCCGCCAGGGACAGTCGCCATGTGAGCTGCCAAGAGTTAGAGGTCCAGACCCTTCTTTGGTAAGACAAGACCACGTGGAAACACTTAGATTAATAGAAATGGGTTAATAATTAAGACAGAGCAAGCCAATAAGAAGCCCTAGTCATTGGCCAGCAGTTTTATAACTAATACAGTGGTTATGTGTTTCTCTGGGGCCAAACGGCTGCAGGAAGCTCCACAACACATTCTTACAGCAGAGTTCAGCAACCTGAGTATCGGGTTTTGTTTCCTCACACTGTTGAGAACTCTGACTCAGAAAGGACTCTGTGCCTACGCTCTTCTTGGCATGTCAGAAGTGCCAGCATCGAGAACTGGCCCTCTGGAGGCATAATTAAATGAAAAAAGGGTGACCTGACCACAGCACTGTCCTACCTCAAGTGACAACCAAGGTGTCTCGGTGACTAACAGGTGAGCAGCGTCCACATCCTCAACAAGGAGGTTGCAGATCTGGGACAGGAAAGCAGGGTGACACAAGACGCCGCCGCACCACATGGAACAGTCAATGTGCAATTCACAACCAATGAGCTGCTTATTTTTGGAGTTTTCCATTCAGCATGTTCAGACCATGGCTGTGTTAACTGAACTTCAGAGGGCAGAGTGGGCTCACCCCTGAAAGAAGCACGTGTGTGACCCTCAGGAAGAGCCACACACGCTCCTCATCAAAAGAAGTTTCGAGGTGCCTCTGCTCCCCTGCACCCTCCTTTTAAATGTTTTTAAAGTTACAATTATGTACATGTAGAGGTCAGAGGACTACCTGGAGGAAAGTCATCAGGGTTGGTAGCTGCGGCCTCTACCCTCCATGCTGTCTTGCTAGCCCAGCCCTCCTTCCAAGCAGAAAACACACCACAAATCCATTAGGTGACTGTTGCTGCTACTGTCCCAGCTCTACCATTTTACCGACTCATTGTAAAATAAGCCATCAACCTCTGTGCCTCAGTTTCCCTAACTGCCAAATGGCATTAGCGATGGAGCCATCTCCCTGGAATATGTATGGATTAATGCGATAATAGCAATAATAAATAAAGATGTGATTACTCACACATTCAGATGCACACTACAAAGTGAGCTCAGGAAAGTCAGGGCCCTGAGCATGGATGGCACCAGTTTCACCCACGGAGCAAGTCATTCTGGTACCTGCTATTCCTAGCACCTGAATTCTGCCCTTCGGCCATGTGCCTTACCAACCAGCATCAGAAGCCCCAACCTCGCTCTGCAAGACTCCCCGAATGAGAGCAGCCTTTCATTCCTGGGAATTATCCCTCAAACACCCCCAAAGCTTGGACCTGCCCAAGCAAGACGGTACCTACTGTTACACAGAGCCTTGCAGACCACGCCCCCCCCACGAGAACACCCCTACACAGACACACACACACACACACACACACACTCAGCACAAACCTCCCTCCCCATATGTGGGTGGCAATCAGGCCTAAGTGGCTGAGGGGCAATGAGCACAGCAAAGCAGAAAACTTACCAGAGAATTGATGAGATAATGGAGGAGCGGTCGGGCTTAGCATCAACCCCGTCTTCACTGGAAGGATCCACTTTTTCCAGCTCTGCAACACAGTTCTGGTCATCTGCCATCTAGGAGGAAATCAAACCAGAGGAACGGAGATGCAAAGTGCTGCCGTTGCCTTGTGATGCATGTGTGTGCTCATGTGTGTGCAAGTGAACACGCATGTATGCCTGTGCATGTGGAGGCCACAGGTCAACCTTGGCAGGGCCCTACCCCCTTCTTTTCCGAGACAGGCTTCCTCACCGGCCTGGATCTCCCCAATCAGGGTAGGCTGGCTGGCCAGTGAGCCCCAAAGATCCACCAGTCTCTGCCTCCCACTGCTCCTGGCTCCTCGTGGGGTTTTAGGAACTGAATTTAGGTCTTCACACCTGAGCAGCAAGTACTCTGCCAACGGTCACCCTCTGTTCCTTGGTATTTTCAAATGGCACTCTTGTTCTTAATGAATTAAACCTTGGGGCAAGCAGACGTGCATATTTAAGCCCCAGGGTTCCTGCACCAGCAAGGTAATAGTGTAATTAAACAGTGCTGCCAGGCGTTGGTGGCGCATGCCTTTAATCCCAGCACTTGGGGGGCAGAGGCAGGTGGATCTCTGGGAGTTCAGGGCCAGCCTGGTCTACAGAGCAAGTTCCAGGACAGCCTCCAAAGCCACAGAGAAACCCTGTCTCAAAAAACAAAAACAGAAAGAAACAAACAAAACCCACATAGTGCCAACTATGGCAGGCCCCCTTTTAGCCACCAAGTATGCACATCAAGAAACCAAAGCCACCCCAGCCCCGATGGCTTCGATAAACATTTGGTGTGTGCAATAAACTGTGCACAGCCTGTCATGGTTGTAACCATCAGGAAGGCCCCCTAAGTCCCTGGCAGTCACAGGATGCCCGCATTTTGCTTGGCATCACTCAGCACACCTCCAAGACAGCACAGAGCTGTCGTCATTGCAGCAGATCTACCCAGGTGGGTTTCCATCAAATGGTTTCCCTGCTCAAGAATCTTCAAGATGGCTAGAGAGATGGCTCATTGGCTAACAGCACTGTCTGCAATCCCACAGGACCCAGGTTCAATTCCCAGCATCTACATGACAGCTTGAACCTGTCTGTAACTCCAATTCCAGGGCTTCTGACACCCTTACACAGACATACATGTAGGCAAAACACCAATGCACATAAAGTAAAGATAAATTATTTTTTAAAAGGATCTTCAAGAGCCTAAGGGCCAGTGGTAAGGTGTCAGGGCAAGGACTCAAGTTTGATCGCAGCATGGTGACATGAACTTGGAATCCCAGTCTCAGGGATGCAGACACGTGGCCTAGCTTAATCAGTAGTTCCAGACAATAAGAGAAGACCCTGTCTCCAAAAGAGAAAAAAGAAGGTAGGCAGACTCCTGAGGAATGACAGCTGAGGTTGACCTTTGCCTATATCACACATGCACAAATACATTGCACACACGCTCTGCCAAGTGATCCGCACCATTTAAAAAATTTTAACTTGTCTCCTTGGATTTCAAGGCCCTTCACGACCTATGGCAGGTGTCAGCACACTGGCCCACCTGTTGACGTGAGTAAAGTCTGTTCTCTGCCTGTTTGCTCTCTGTGAGCAGACACAAAAATATTTACTACCTGGCTGTTTACACCATGTGCTCTGCCTACTTGGCTCCTGTGTTTGTCACTTCATTTATGCCCCGCTAATTGCCTGGCTCCCGTAGGACAATATAAACTCATCATGGTACAGGCATCTGGCACACAGAAGGCGCTTATTAAATAAATATTAATTGAGTGGAAGCTGGAAGGAATGAATACCCCCACGGGAAAAGAATTAGCTAAACAAGATACAGCTGATCCAAGGAGAGACCATATTGGAGCCATTGTTCACAAGTCAAATCCTGTTTCATTCTGCATGAAAAGATGAGGGGTGCAAACTTCAGAGTTTATCTGGTCTGAGACCTTCAGGGGGAGTGTGTGCACACCTTTCAGGGCTGGCCTAGCGACTGTTCACATGGCTGGTTTTATAAAAAGAAAATGGTTATATCTATCTGCCGGGTGTTGGTGGCACACGCCTTTAATCCCAGCACTTGGGAGGCAGAGGCAGGCAGATCTCTGTGAGTTTGAGGCCAGTTTGGTCTCCAGAGCGAGTGCCAGGTTAGGCTCCAAAGCTACACAGAGAAACCCTGTCTCGAAAAAACAAAAGAAAGAAAGAAAGAAAGAAAGAAAGAAAGAAAGAAAGAAAGAAAGAAGAAAATGGTTGTATCTATCTTACAAAGTACTTGTGTCCCAGGATGTGACAATGACGACATTGTAGGTGGCATCCAGCCTCGGGAGGGTGTCCATGGAGGCCAAGCGAGGGTGTTGTGGACCTTGGCTCTCAGGTATCACTATGGAGTCACTTTCTGGCAGATGACAGAGACAGGGGGAAACAGAGGAGAGGGAGGTGAGGAGGGAGAAGAGAAGAAAGGGAGGGGAGGGAGAGAGAGAAAAGAAGGAGGGGAGAGGATGGGAGGGGAAGAGAGGGAAGCAGAAGGAAGAGAGAGGGGAGGGGAAAGAGAGGAGATGATGAGGAGAGAAGAGAGAGGCTTGGCTCGGCTTCCAGGCAGTGGAGAAGGAACTGAGGCAGGAAGGACACACCCACAGTGGCCAGGAGAAACCAGATGGCCTCCCCACCACAGTGACCAAGAGCTTTAGATCAGGACCCCAAATGTCTCTTATGAGCAGAGATGACACCATTGGAGGCGATAAGCAGAGGCCTGGCAGTTAGAAGACACCAGCAGTTTCTGGTTAGCCGTCTTGACAGATTCTTCCTTACACTTCAAGTACAGTCATCAGCAGGGCACATGCTCAAATATCTTGACAATTAGCCAGTCAAATCTATGCTAAAACCTACCCGAAAAGACACTATCTTCAACATGTTCTTAAACCTTGATTCTTTCACCAAATTTAATCTTAAAGGTTAAACCTAAGATCCATAAGACAGAGAGGGAAGGAGGAGTATGGAAGAGGGAGAGAGAGAGAAAGAGGAGAGAGAGAGAGAGAGAGAGAGAGAGAGAGA